CTTAAATCTAAGGCAACATTACTCCGCTACCATAGTTCTAAGCATTTATAAAATCCAATGACAGAAACGTATAAAAGTCGAAGTAATGGAAATTACTACAAAGGCATTAAAAGAAGACAGAGATGATACACCCTATGGAAGTGACACACATTACTCGGCTACCCTGGTCTTAAATCTCCATACATTCCTATCAGAGGTCATGTCCTCGGTAAGGGCTAAATCCTTAAAATCAGATCTCAAGCAGTCTTCCCACTTTCGCCTTGGTCGTCATCTCCTTCTGGCACCGTCTACTGTAATGGACTCTACTCTCCTGACCGCATCCGACGGTTGTCGCCTAAGGACATACCCAAACCACCGTAGTCTTCTCTCCCTCAATTTTTCGGATACAGACACCACCCCTAAGGGCTAAAAAAAACTATTGAGTTGCTCGTAAACTTATTGAGTCAAGTTAGACTTTGTTCGACTCAACTCGTTAAGATTTCGAGTCGAGTTTTAACCAAGTATTGGTTGAGTCGAGTTTGAACTGCTCAACTCATTAAGCACCCCTAACAATAATTATAGGTGTTTCTCGTATAATATTAAGCATAATGTCAAAAATAGCCTCCAATATTTATCAAAATAATCATTTTACCTCTTATACTTTTTTATAGAGTATTTTAAGCCCCAACGTTTCATTATGGGGCAAAAAATTCCCTCTATAGATAAAATATTAGTTAACACTCGATTAACTCTCCATTATAGTTGTCGGTAGATTACGATGTTTTGTTTTGTTTATTCCTTTTAATTATCATTCGAATATGGTCCTTTTTAATTATTTCTTAAATTATGAGCTTATTTACTGGAATAATTATTTTGAGGTGAACTCAACCTCTGAGTTTTATGTTGTTCACTTTGTTTTCTTTTTCAGAGAATATGTTTTCCAATGGGTTTTATGTAAATTCGTTTCAACTAAATTATACTGGGATTGTAATTTAATGTGAAACTAATGGATTTTGATCCGATCAAAACTAATCAGGTCAAAAAAATTTAAAAAAAAAATTAGCTCGAATCCGGTTGGGTCAAATTTATATAAAGGAATGAGGTTGGGTTGGACTGAGTTGAGGTGGAGAGTTAAAGAACTCCGATCTGACTTGAAGTTAACAATATAATTTCTTTAAATAAATTTATACATAATTATTATAGTACACAATGTCTCTATTGTATTATTTAATTAAATCTTTATTTTATATCATATAAGATTGTATCAGGTCAGATTTATAATTTAAAAAATTTAAGTCGAATCGAAAACGTGTAAAAGATATATATTTTTTCGGTGGGTGGAGTGTATAAATTATCCTCTATAAAACTTACTAATTCAAGAGACAAGTTATGCTACTCAACATCATGTATAATTTTTCTTTTCTAAATTATTACATTAATTCAACCGAAACACAATTTAAAATATTAAAATAAGTGTTGATGCACTGGGAACGTGGCTGCTAATCAACAATCGATATATTTAAGGGAGCAAGTAAAAAGTACAGTTGCATACAGCACACACCTAAAGCATTATGAGATGGTATTGAAATATGTTGTCTAACACGTATTCAGTTCAGCTGCATACAGCACACACCTAAAGCATGAGTTTTATGTTTACAGTCTTCAGTCGAATTCAAATTAAAATTTTATATATATTATATTTATGGGTAAAGTACAAAAATATATTTGACTATATGATTATTTTATTGAATCTCATTATTATTAAAAGTTATAAGATAATATCTTAACTATAAGATGTTATTTTATTGATTCTTTTAACTATTAAAAGTTATAAAATAGTCACTCGATTATTCATATAGTTCAAACTCATTCTTTTTCATTAAAGAAATGGCGCTCGTCTAAAATAGGCGTTATCTTGTTGACTGAAATATGATAAAATATGATCTCAAATTCGTTTTAACGGTATTTTGTTGATGAAATCTCTATTTACATTATGTTGGGTCAGTATTTGAAAGCAACAACGGTGCCGATAGATATCATTAAAAAATGATTTTTTTCATATCTTAATCACCAACTTAATGTCCAACTCAGACGAGAGTGAATTTTTTTAATGGGAAATGGACGACTTTGGAATATATGAATAGTCAGAAGACTGTTTTATAACTTTTAATAGTTAAAAAGGCTTAATAAAACAATGTTATATAGTCAGTGACTACTTGTGTACTTTACTCTATATTTTAAAATTCATATTAAATTATAATTTTGATTAAAGTTTATGAGTAATTTTTTATAGTCTATGATGATTATAATGTATTATTTGTTTATAATATTTCTTAATCATTGATAAAACATATTTAATGTATCAGACGTAACTGCTCAAATCTAAAATCTCCTATAAAAATAAAATTTATTTTTTTCTTTTAACTATTGGGTGACTCGGTACGTTTCAGTTTATGTGCAATTGTAATATTTATATAAAAGGAGAAAGTGCGAGAATCGAAGGACTATTAAAAGACACATAATTATTATCAACCAGGTCCAAGACAACTAATAAAAGACACATAATTGTAATATTGGGGTGAAGAAGACCATTGATGATAGCAGGCAAGGCAAATCTCAATTATTATCAACTGTCCGTTAAAAAATATTATTGAATTTCATTTTACACTCTCACTCATCACCCATGCTTTACTTTTGTTACAAACCAAATAATCAAATTTTTAACATAAAAAAACAACTTATTAATTATCATGAAGGTTTTTAATTCGTAAATAATTTTAATAATAAGACACATAATTATAAAAAATACTAAAAACAGTTTTTTTTTTCATTTTAATATTTTTCGTATTATTTTATGTATTAAATTCAAAATTTATGAGCGTGTCTCCTTTATTTTCTTGAAAAAATAGATATGGAGAATTGGATAAAGATGGTGAACCTTTAAAGTTACTCTAAGTATGTAATCCATGGAGTCTTTGAGTAAACACAAACCCAATGGAAACAATGATATGAAATCCATGGAATCTTTGAGTAAACACAAACCCAATGGTAACAATGATATGTGTATGATTAATAGTACACACACACAAATGGTCAGAAACAGAAAGGTGGATAAGTTTTGTCTCTTCCTAAAGCAAAAATAATAATCCTTATAATTCCCGCCAAACCAAACCAAACCAAACCAAACCAAACGTGTTCATCGCTTCAAGTAACGTACAAACATCAAACTCAAAGTATAGTACACTCTGACGTCTATTTCAGTCTTTCACAACCATATTTAATTTTAGGATAAAGTATACAAATTACCTTTCGATTATAAAATATTATTTTATTAAGTCGAATGATTATTAAAAATTATAAAATAGTCGTTTGATTATATGACGTTATTTTGTTGAATCTACTGACTATTAAAAATTATAAAATGATCACTCGACTATTCATATATTTCAAAGTCGTCATTTTTGTTAAAAAATTAAAGATCGTATAAGTTTAATGTTAACATGTTGGTTGAAATTTTATAAAATTATATTTTAATGATATCTACTTGAACCACTGTTGCTTTCAATTACTAGTTCAACTTCATAATATTTCAAGCATTGACTCGACGATATAAATAGAGAGTTGGTCCACAAAATACAACTCAAATAATTATGAGATCAGATTTTATCATATCTTAATTAATAAGTTAATATCCAGTTTAAAAGCCCATCAATTTTTTAACTAAAAAGGACGGGTTTAGAACATATGAATAATCACATGATCATTATGTAACTTTTAATAGTCGAAAGACTCAACAAAAAAGTATCCTATAACCAAAGGATTGTTTTATAAATTTTAATATTTTAAAACTCAACAAAGCATCATCTTATAATCAGGCAAATCCCAATACTTTACCTTTAATTTTATTCTTATTTTGATTTGATAATACAACCATGATTATAAATTATTCGACCTCGATTTTTTTTTAAAAAAAATCATTTAAAATAGTTTACTGAAAATATAGAGAGGTAAAGAATCTTAAGTAGTGATATGAAATAGTTGTGTACTTTGGTACTGGTAATTTACTGCTTGTCATCATTGTTGAGTTGTATCATATTATATTAATTGACTGGAAATTTTTTACAAATTCAAATTTAAGAGTGTTTTTATAAAAATAAAATAGTTAATTTTTAATGACGTAGTTTAAAATAAAAAAGTGGGAAACAATGCCTATGGAGAAGATGCAATGTAAACGTAAGATATAGTGGTTAGTGGACAGACAAATAGTTGAGTTTTGAGGCTAAACTACTCAGCAGCCTTTTAGGCCGTCTTTAAACCCTAAATGCTACACATAACTTAGGCCCAACCCAACTAAGATGAAAAAAAATGTAATACAGTATTCTGATCAAGGTAAAACGCTTTAAATCGACTCTCTAGTACCTTGGGTTTTAATATTTTATTAAGACATTTGTTTCTACTTAAAATTGTATTATTTCAGTGATTATCTGATTTTAATTAAATTAAAAAATTATTTAAAATTTCATAAGATTTATATTATTGAATTTAAATACAAATAAATATTTTTTTTTATTTTTTATTAATCTGGTAATAGAAAACGATACCTATATTGGGCCGTTTTGGTCTTTCAGCCCAAACAACATAGAACCGACTTAAACGCCACAACATTCGGTGCCAAGTGGACGCAAAAGGCAATCAATCAATCAGAGTGAGAGAGATATTTTTGAAGTATGATAGATATTTTCTAAAGCATTTTTCAACAACTCAGGGATCACGTGACTGCTGGCACCACTACCGACTAGGTCACCACATAACTAACCATAGTTTATTTTTAACAATTCCCCAGTTCACACGCTGGGGCCTGTCCTACTATTCAGGGCCATCGTAGTTTTAACCATGGTTAACTAACCGTAATTCGCTGTATCCAGGTCCATTTAACCCTAGTTCAACCCCCACACCCTCTCTATAAAACCATGGTTTAGGCCTGTTGTATATTCACTCGCAGCCTTCTCCAAAGTATCTCCCTTCATATATCTCTTTGTTCCCTTTAATTTTACTTGTTTTTAGAATTTTCCATCATGGCCGCAGCCGATGTTGAGTTCCGGTGCTTTGTCGGAGGGCTCGCATGGGCCACCGACGACCGGGCCCTTGAAGAAGCCTTTAGTACCTTTGGTGAAATTGTTGAATCGAAGGTCCGTTTGTTGCTGAGATTGGGCTCCAGATCTGACTCGATCCGACCCGAATTGGGCCTTCCATGTCTATGATCTGTGATCCTTGATCTGTTCTTTTGTGTTACTGCTACTTGTTGTTACTTGGTACTCTTCTTGTTACTGTTCTCTTTTAATTCTAGAGCCGGTACGTTCTTTCTTCATCGCCGTGGGCCGAAGATTGATCGATTCGAAAAAAAATTCTTTTATTTTGATTTTCTTTTTGTGATTTTGTTCACTTAATTGATTATTTATTTGCTTTTTATAGATCATTAATGATCGTGAGACTGGAAGATCAAGAGGTTTCGGGTTCATTACTTTCCGTGACGAGAAAGCTATGAGGGACGCTATCGAAGGAATGAACGGTCAAAATCTTGACGGAAGGAATATTACCGTCAACGAAGCTCAATCTCGCAGAAGCGGAGGAGGTGGAAATGGTGGATACAACAGCGGGGGTGGAGGCGGTGGGTATGGTGGTCGCCAAGGAGGATATGGTGGTGGTGGACGTCGTGATGGAGGTGGATATGGAAACGGTGGAGGATATGGTGGTGGTGGATATGGAGGCGGTCGACGTGAGGGAGGGTACGGTGACTCTGATAGCAACTGGAGGTCTTAAGTTTAAGGTTTATAATTGGGCTGTGTAGGTCCGAAATCGGTATTAGGAAATGAAAGTGTTGTTGTAGTTGGTATTTTGATTTGATGTTGGTTCGATGGTTCTCTGTTACTCTTATCTTGTTTTTGACCGATGCTTGTGCTTATCTGTCACTTTGTCTTTTTAAAAACATAAAAAATGGAATGAAGTATACAGTATCTTCTTTTCAATTTCTTGCATTTGTCGTAAACATTAATTTTGAATTTGTTTACCCTCAAATCATTTACAAGTGCATATCCAAATCCTATGGATAATTTATTTCTAATATTATTTACTCTGATATAATTTTTTCTTTTATATAAATATTGTTAATTAGAATCCTAAATTACATTTGGAATGAAATCGTATAGACAAAGGTTTGATAAAGATCCACAATTAATTTTTGGTTTAAATTGTTATTGTCGAATAATAAAATTAAAATAATTGTCTTATTGTTTGCAAGTTTTATTATTTGTCCGCAGTGTGTGCCGTACAATTCCAGATTTTATAGTAAAAAAATGTATCGTATGATCAAAATTAGTGATAAGCTTTTCATACACAACGCAATAATAAATAGTGTATTTACACATTTTAACTTCCTTTTGGATTATGGAAGCTTTTATTTATATCTTTAGTGGCTAACGAGGATGTGATTGATACATATATCAATAGTTTTAGGATGAAATATCTTCAAAAATCCGAAAAAGATCAATTTAAAATAAAAAATATATAATTTAGGTATAAAATTGAAATTTTAAGTTCAGGGAGTAATTCAAAGTGAGAATTTTTTACAATTTCAAAGTAAAATTAGAACATCTAAAAATTTGAAGAATAATTTAAAATAAGAGATAATAATTCAATTTATTTAAATTATATTTTTTAAAATTCAATCTAAACAATATTATAATCGTTCGAGAGTCGAATAATATCTTTACAATTGAAGAAGTCAAAACCCATATTGGATTGAATGCCTATTAATTTTGAAAATAAGTCGGTCCCTATAAGAATACATAAATTCAAAATAATATTCAAAAGAACAAAATAAATTCCAAAATTTTATAGTCTTTTATCAATTTATAAAAAGATAAGTTTAAAAAAAATTATAAGTAGTAAACAAATAAATTAATTATCAAATCAAATATAATTAATATTAAATTGTTTACTCTAACATCTATGTTTTTCATTATTCCCATTGGTCGAATTTTGGACAAAATTATTAAACAGTGATTGAGGTTGATTTGAATGTTTATTATTAAATTAAATTTGTAATAATGGTACTATCATTAAAATGAAGAAAAATTAGATGAAATTGTTACTAATTTTTTTTAAAAAGTAAAAATCCTTACAATTTAAAATGTACATGTTAGGTGTAAATAAAATATTTAATGGTTTAAAATGATTTTATTAAGTCTCTAAATATTTTTATTGTAGTCCTCTTATCATTTAAAATCGTTGAAATTAAACTATCATTTAAAATCGTTGAAATCAAATTATCATTCTATTCATCTTCTTGTTAAATTAAATAAAATTTAAAATATTATTATTATTATTATTTTGTTATGAAAAAGAGATACTAAGCTTAACCTAACAAACCTACTAACTATTATCTGCTACTAATTTATGTCGTACTACTTCTGGTGCTTGAGAGAACTTGTGGAAGCCATCCTGGAGAGTCCATGCATATTTTTCCATAGCATCAGCTGCTTCGTTTGTCTTACGTGGGGTGTAGGACAATGTGGTTGGTGCGGCCACTGCAAACGCCTCTCCCCCCAGGTTTTATATTCTTTCGATTCTTCAAGCTGTTGCCGCGATCCTTTTGTACAGGACTCTTCCGGAGCATCTTCATTTGTAGCAGCAGCTGAGGCATCATCGGTTTTGTATTTCTTTTTCTTGCTTCTCTTTGCTTATCATCCTATTTATTAACTTCTCTTAAGTTCAACTTTGATTTTTCATTTTTCTTTTTTTTTCACCCAGATCTACCTGTTAGTGGCAATATTTATACTCTGCCTATTGGTTTTCTTTGCGGGTTTTCATTCTTAAGATCTGTACTTTCCATTTTTTTTTCTAGAAACTAGACAAAAATTTGTGTTTCTTTGATTAAGATTTACTTGCAAGTGTAAACCTTTCAACTATACATGTTGATTTTTTTTTCTGGGTTTTTCATTTCTGTGATTAAGCACGATTGCTATTTTCACTTTTCGTTTTCAAAATAAAATTTATTTTTGTTGTTTTTCTCCTTGCTAATATTTGTTGTGAAGTTTGATTATTTTTTAGTCTTAAAATATTTTTGTTAGTGATTTTTACGTGATCACACTGGATTATGCGAGTTTTAAGCTTATTAGATCTGTTTTTGGGTATTTGTATTTATATATCATTGTCTTGAGCTCTGTCAATCTTCATGCCTCTATCCACAAGATCCATTGGAATAGCCGGTTCCTTTGGATCAGGAGGGGGTCCTGCTTTTTCTAATATGTTGGGAGCGGATGGGGCATCTAGCTGTGATGAAAAGTTTTGGATCAAATCTGAAAGCAGGGGTCCTTTGGGAGCTTTATATTCCTTGGGTTTTTTTATTTTCAAATTTTTACGATTGGCTTTATGCATGTTGCTGTTCATCTTGGCTTGGCGCTATCGTTGAGAGTACGACAGATTTGCTTCTTCTTCCCTAATTGAAATAGCTGCATGGTTTCCTTTCCCAATGTTGGTGAGTATTGATAGAAGCTCCGCTTTTGAATATGACTTGAGTTTTTTCTCCATGTTGATTGATGGAGGGAATGTCCATTTGCTGCATGTTTGCATCTCTGATTGGTACATCAACCCATGAGCTTTCTTCTTGTAGGATGGGGTGATCGTTTTCTTTGCTATCGTCATATGTGACTGTTCCCTTGGGGGCGTTATAAATTTTCGGTAGGGAGCTGTTGCTTGTACTTGGTTTGTTGTCCTTACGAGATTTGGTTTTGCTTCCTTTGGGAGTTAGGTGTGACCGGGTTTGGTTGCTCTTTTGAGGTGTCTTCTAAGTTTGGTTCCGTTTGGTTACTTTCTGATTGGAGAATAGCGAACCGTTGGTGAAGTTTCACCCTCCTCCATTCTCCGTAACCATCCAAGGCCCGTATGGGCGTTGATCAGCACCATCACTGGGGGGTTGTGTAATTTGGGGTTGGTTGGCTGGTTTTGTCGGATTTGTTTGATCACTAGTTGAGGTTTCACAAGATTCTTTTGCATGTCCGTAAAGGCCACAGTTGAAACAAATTTGACGCAAGCTTTCATATTCAAGTTTTTGGACGAAATCGTCAATTCCGATGCAGGGGATGAGGGGCTTGTTTAAATCAACCATCACTGCTAATCTAGCAAATTTGCCTCTTTCCCCAGCATTGGTATTATAGTCAACCTTGATGACTTTTCCTATCATATTGGCGGTTGCCCTAAATAAAATTTTTGTATAGTATTTGTAGGGCAAACCTGGGAGACGAACCCAATCAATCACATGCCATGGATGCTTTTCCGATGTGGTAAAGCTTCTACTCCAAGGCTGAACCGTGAGATATATCGCCCAAGGGCCTTCCGTTAGAACTTTTGTATAGTCTTCCAACCTTTCAAATTTCTCTAAGTAATAATCATTATCCAAATCAACTAGATTAATATTACCTAGCAGTTGCCAGAGTGTGTTGATTCTGTTCCAGAGCGCTTTATATCTGATTTTTCCCCCAGGAGACGGACAATTATTCTGTTTCATACTTTGATCAATGATGTTGTGTACTCGATCAGAAAATTTGATTCTCGGGTAGGTTCCTGTTGTGTCGATAGTGATATCGCCTTCTTGGAAGTTGATATCCTCTTCGCAGTTTGGTATGATGGGAGATTTTTCTTTACCTGGATTACTTGCAGCCATGGATGCTTTATGGCATCAACTATTACAACGAGGTCGATGGCTGGTGCGGCAGAGTTATCGGTTTCTTCCTCCTGCATGTGATCTTCTTCCACAGTTATTACTTCCTCTGAACGATTCTTAACTTTTCTCGTTGCCCTTTGGACGTCGTTGGTTGTTGGGAAACCAGCGTTATCTGTCGTTTTTGCAAGGTGGCTAGGAACCCCAGACTCGAGAAGCCTAGGGTTTTGTTTTGACAAGTTGCTAGGGTTTTGTTATTAAACTTTTGAAAGTTGTAAAATTATCGTTACACTTTTGATTCAATTACAAAAATTTAAAATTTAATGACTGAAAAATCATGTCAACATAATTTAATGATCATGTATATACTTACAAAATAGTAATTTTTCAAAAAGATTATCATGAATAATTGAAGAATTTGATTAACAAAACATTATTTAAAGATTTCATTAATATGAAAGCTGATATGAACTAATTTTTTTTATTAAGATGAAGTTTAAGGACCAATTTTTTTTTTTCAAAAGTTAAATTAAGTCTGAATCATTATGGAAAGTGATTCTCATGCAACTAATTAAGAATTATAAGATTCTATGGAATTCCATTAAATTGAAATAAAAGATGATATATTGGTATTTTATTATTTTGTTGTATTTGTTGGTATGGTAGAATGAGACACTAGATCCCTTAAGCAAGGTCGTAAATTTGAATCTTGATGTTTGCGAATGAAACAAATGTGTTCGGAGGGTTTCTCCATAATAAGTCTCTATAAAGTTCGATCTGAAACAACCGATCAACCGTTTAAATACTGGTGGAATAACATAGATGGAAAGAAAGGTATGAGAGAAAATTTTGATATTGATTTGGATTGCTTGGTTAAGGCAACTGTAAATTAATTAAGTTTTTGAATTTGTGTTTTTATTGAAATCTATGTGGGAAATATTTTCCTAATAGTAACTATGAATAATTGCAATAATTTTAGAAAACAAGTTAGAAATTGATCTATACATTTTTTAAATCTTATATAAGTAAAATTTCTTTCAAACAAATGTGATTGATTTTGATTTGTATTTTCAGAGATTCAATTTTTTCAAGTAATGAAAGATAAAAAAAAAAAAAAGGAAATGAGAAAAAATAAAGAAATTTACATAATCATTTCGTTAAAGAAAATGAATTTTAAAA